AGAAGAATGTAGAAGACAGGCCGAACGAAAGGTTCAAAGAAACCGACTTTAACAAAACTAATAAATTTAACATGATAGATCTATCAAACACTAGTTCAATAAAATTAATTTTCTTATAAGTAGAAATCAAAATAATTGTTAATTTAATGGGCTCTGCATCAATGCAGGTAAATTGCGTCAACAGAATATGAATCTACTACAACTGCACATGTACATGTACGTTTACGCTAAACTCTCACTTATGTAAATGTAAACTTTAATGTATAAGATACCTAAAACCTCGTTTTAATTAACGAACATGGAATGATAAAATATTTTTTCCTTACAATACAAAACATAAAAAATAATAAACAAATATTAAAAGAGTGAATGCGACTTTTCCGACTGAATAATTATAAATCATAGCTATTAAACTTTATGTGTACTGTTTCTAATAATAACAAAAAATAGTTTAAGTCGGCAAATGAATTATTAAATCCTGAAAATTATTTTAGACTTACCCAGTTATCTCATATGAGGCATATTCGAAGGGCGGGATGTTGAAAATCCGTAACCAATTTAAAATTAGATTAACAAGATCTAACCACATAGTCAAAAATAATATTGACTTCTTAAATAAAGTTATATACGTATGGAATGAAATCGATCAGTACTATAAATTGCAATTGAATCGGTGTACATATTTATTACTTGTCTTGTATGTCACGGCGGAATCAGATGACTTCATGTGTTTCATTATTATAGTAAAATACCGTAAAAAAATAATGCTAATTTTCATAGTTTTGAATGTTAGAACTATTTTATCCGTCTCTACAATCAATGAAAGTGTGTCCTAGAATTAATTCTGTCCGTATTGCGCAGAAAACCCGATGATCCGAAAGTTCATGTACCATAAGTGAAGTGTTCTTTATAAAGCTTATTAAAAGTCTTATTTACATAAACATAAGGCCATGCAAAGTTAATTACTTGGTTCTCAGGCCTTTTTTCAAGAAATATAATGAGGGAGGGAGGCATTTTTTTTTCTTTTTTATTGCCCCCAAAACATGATGAGGCAGCTTTTTACATTGTACAAAACCTCAAAAAATTATGAGGGAGGTGATTTGGTGTTTGTATTTTATTGATTTAGCAATAAAAAGGGTCAATGAGGCACCCTTGGAAGGAATGAGGGAGGGCCTGAGAACCAAGAAATTAATTTTTTTTTGCCTAATGGAAACATTGTAGAAATGAACTAAATCAGCGGATTGAGTTTAGGGACTTCATTTCATTAAATTGATTTATATGAATTTTTTTTTAATCCATAAATTGTACATTTATTTATTTTGAATAAAATTTTTGATAAGTTTTGTTCACACAAGTTAGGAACAAAATCCCGCAAATAAATAGATGTGTTTCATTAGAACCAGGTAGTATTCGAGGTTACTAATTGACCCCAGGTGAGCGAGCAGTACAGGTATGTTGACAAAGAACACACACGGACCGAGGTGTCATTTAGGGGAGAAGGGGGAGGGGTGTTGACCGCACAGGAAGGCATTGTGCTGATTAGAGAGGTACACATAGGTGTCAGTTTTCTGGCAAGGAAAGCTTTTCGATTTGACACTCAGATGGATAATATTTTCAATTTATTTCCACGCCAAAAAGGTAAGCTGTTAAAACATTATGTTTTCCCCAGTATATATTATTTTTAGATTATCTAATGCAAGATAAAATTAATTAAACAAGAGGCCCATGGGCCACATCGCTCACCTGAGCACCAAGGGTAGGACTAGTATAAAATGGCTTTTTATTGTAAAGTTTAAATCCAAAAGTAGTCCCATGAACAATCATGGATTTGCTATTTTTTAGAAAATGATTGAGAAGAAGATTTTTAAAGAATTTTCCTATATATTTCTATGTAAAACTTTGGTCGGCCATTTTGGCCCCGCCCTACCCCCGGGGGTCATGATTTGAACAAACTTGAATCTACACTACCTGAGCATGCTTCCATATAAATATGATGAATAATGGCTTTGTCATTCTTGAGAAGAAGATTTTTAAAGAATTTTCCTATAAATCACTATGTAAAACATTGGTCGGCCATTTTGGCCCCGCCCTACCCCCGGGGGTCATGATTTGAACTAACTTGAATCTACACTACCTGAGCATGCTTCCATATATATATGATGAATTATGGCTTTGTCATTCTTGAGAAGAAGATTTTTAAAGAATTTTCCTATATATTTCTATGAAAAACATTGGTCGGCCATTTTGGCCCCGCCCTACCACCCGGGGTCATGATTTGAACAAACTTGAATCTACACTACCTGAGCATGCTTCCATATAAATATGATGAATGCGACGTGATCTATTCTGGAGTCCAGGAAAATTACTGTATGTGGCTAGGGATAGAGTTCTATGTAAAACTTTGGTCGGACATTTTGGCCCCGCCCTACCCCCGGGGGTCATGATTTGAAAAAACTTGAATCTACACTATCTGAGCATGTTTCCATATAAATATGATGAA